AAATGTTGTATTCGTTAGCCTTTTCCGTTCTTTCTTCTGAATTCGTGTGCGACTGTATATTATTGCTAGTGCGAAGGTATCTCCAAAATTTGCTTGGATTGCTTTTGATAAAGCTTGGAAGTGTAACACTAAAATAACATTGTCTGGCAGTTTTGTAATCATGTCTTTTGTAATCATGTCTTTATTAGTACACGTGCAAACCTGTACCAGCGCCACCTGGCAGTTTCCTCCCAAGGTGTTAAGCGCTAGCCAACACGTTCATCACACTTCCCTATTCTAGCCACTGTAACAAATCTGTCCGGTGACTGCTTGAGAGTGGTTCACCTGCAAATGGAAGCTCAGTTGAGTTCGGATTCTGACAAATTTTAGAAATTGAGATGCGAACGAAACACTAAAATAAAGAAATCACAATAACTCAGTATATACAGACAGTCTCAAGGCTCTTGCAGAGACGTCTCCGAAAATCACAACACAGCGGAGTACTCAACGTTGGACTATTCAATGCAATACATGCGCGGTACACTACAAGCTTAAATGAGAAGCACACGTTTCTTATTCTCAGTAAAGTGACCTGGCTCAGTACTTGCGTCAAAGCACAGGTGGTTTGTAACCTTGATCTAGTGAATGATTTAATGCTCCTGATACTTATATTTCGATTGATAAAAGTTATGAGTGAGCCAACCACGTGTAAATTTAAATATCGTGTGCACTTTACCACAATCTAATCTGCCCCATACAATGGTATTTGCACGTGCAAGTGCTGTTAAGCCCGCTGCTTCAACTCCTTTGTAAAACATCGCACTGGTATCAAATTCATGGTTAAGCTCGACTTTAGCGTGCTTTTGTTGCATCGTCCCTTGAGAGCAGTTCCAGTGGTGCGACGCTGGCTACAGTGGTAAGGTTCATTATCCATGCCAGCCTCTGCAAACGTGCACGCATAGAGGGATACATGTCACAGTAACAGGCAGTAAATACAAAGAACGCCTAAATGACGCAAACCTTTGGAGTGCACGGCCATGGCTTGGGCAATGTAGCTTTGCATGCGCATGACATGTATGTGATCTGCGTCGTGTCATTTTCCTGCTCAGAGTTGATCCGATACCAAATGCGGCCGTGAAGGAATTTGGTTTGCAAATTCTACACAGAGCGTGTGGAAAAGGTTTCAAGCCCACCTCCTTGCACCACGCTTCTGTGGCTCATAAAGAAACTTTCCAGTGTCTTCCCTAGTCTAAGAGTCGGCATGTGAACAAGTGAAGTGCCCTATAAGTAAATTACAAGCAAAATGCTACGTGGACAGTATTTTTTTGACCAACACTACACATTCTTTAGGAACACACGTGGCGGGCGGCTGTAAAACCCACCGGCCACGTATTGGACACCACTCACCTCTTTCCCTCTCCGCTTTCCTCCTTTATTTTCCTCGTCTCATTCCCCTGCAAAAACTGGGAGGCGCTCCTACTTAGAGTTGTACAAGTAGGATATTTTCCTCTGCTCCTCCTCTATTCACTCGTGCCATGTTGATTGATTGATATGTGGGGTTTAACATTTCAAAACCACTATATGATTATGAGAGACGCCGTAGTGGAGGGCTCCGGAAATTTCGACCACCTCGGGTTCTTCAACGTGCACCCAAATCTGAGCACACGGGCCTACAACATTTCCGCCTCCATCGGAAATGCAGCTGCCGCAGCCGGGATTTGAACCTGCGACCTGCGGGTCAGCAGCGGAGTACCTTAGCCACTAGACCACCGTGGCGGGGCACTCGTGCCATGTCAGTGCAGTGGTGCAAGGTAGCCGGCGCGTCATATATTTGACAGCTGCTGACGGTTGCTTTGCACAATCAGAGAACTAGGTCGAGCGCTATAGAGTTGTGAAAGGTCAGATTTGCCCAGAAACATGAATGATAGTCTTAAAGTGTACTCGACAGAAAAATTCGAGGCTAATAGTGTTCACATAAGCACCGATTTTGAACATATACATTTATAGGCCTTTATACGAATTCGGGCACAAGCGTCAAAAATAGGCATTTATAGGAACTTTAAAACGCTATAAAACCTCTACTTAACATTTTATTCATGCCCATACATAAAAGTGACATGATAGGAATGCAAGGAACAAAATAAGCATTTGCCTAAAATCCGGTCACTATATTCATCACCTACAATATTTTTACACCGTGATCTGGACAAAGTTCTGCTCGGCAGAACATGTGCAGTGCATGCTTAGAAAGTGCCACAAAAGTGCCTGTGCCCTAACTGACATTTCCTAGGGGCTTACTAATGTTTTATAAGTGTCTACATGCAACATTAGTGATTCCCTTCAATTAAATTTGACATTTCTTTTGATTCTGTCAAAATGTCATTTTTGTACACCAAGCATGACATTTCCTGCAATCGATCAAACCATAATAGATATAATTATTTTTGCAGAATGTTGCTATAAATGTTTTGAGCAGACAACAAAGCAAGCAGCTCTGAAAGTTTTTGTTCCAAGCTTTTTTTAATTTGTCTTCCATGTAGCCACTGCATGGCCTCATTCAAAACTGTGGACTTTGGCCTATTTACGATAGTAAATAATAACAGAGTCATAAAAGAGCTTTCGTTGTTGTGTCTGTGTTTTGTGCTTTTTACTGCCGATCTCAGTTGAATTTGTTGAGTGGTCATACTTTTTTCACTGTGGGTAAAAAAATGTTCTAGTTTTATAATCAAATTATGAAGCTATAGAAAAAATAACTGCATTTTTAATAGTGACAACAAACTAAGCAAGCGTGCAAACTTTTAATCGGACTCGGTTGAAAAATTTGTAATGCTAGCCTTCAGGCCAGGGTGCCCCTTTAAAGGAGTGCTGACTCGCACTTCAATTAATTTGAAATTATTGTTCTAAATATGAACATGTGTGTGGAGAACACTAAAGAGCACGAGAGATCAAACACGCATGTCAGAGCGATATTTTGTTTATTCTTGTTTTTTATATGTTCCGCGGCTATATTTGAGGTGCACGAAATTGCAAATTTCATTTCCAAAAAGTGATCCCAGTGGGCCAAAAAAAGTTTGAAGGTGGCCGCGCGTGCGTCTCGCTACTGCTTGCCATGACATTTTCCAATTTCGTAGATGATGAAATTCTCATTGTAAACGTTGTGTCGCAATTTCTTCTTCTTGTTTTAATATGTGCCACAGAAAATTACATTCATGCTTTCCTTAAACTGTAAGAACAACCAAAAAAGTAAAAACTGGCGAACTCGGTTAAAATACGGAAAGTTTGGTATCAGTGCCCCTAGGCGCATTTCTTATTTCACGTAAAAAATTGAAGAAGGGTACTAATATAGAACAATATCATTTCAACAATAGATTGTTTTCCTAGACGCAGCATGATAGAAGAAGAAAATAGTTAAAAAAAAGTGTTTTTTCAAAAAACCTTATTTTCGAAAAAGAATCTAAAAAGAAAGCCTGTGCCAATTTTAACCAAACATATTTATCGAAGCCCGCTTATATCACTCAATACAAGGTTTCAATATAGCTGCAAGTAAGCTACAACATTATATGTCCTCACTTTGTTTCAAGAAATACAGCAGGCCAAAGTGACCCTTGCTGAGGGTGCTTGGCTCATGGCCCTTACTAGTTGTCCATATGAGCCTGCACTCTATAGAACTCCAATTCAAATTTTTTGCAGCAGCAAACTCCTTCGTTTACACGGTTCACGAGCGGAGCCGTCAAGGTCGCCCCCGTTTGGGACTAGAAGAGGAAGGCTTACTTGGAAGAGCGTCTGACAAGAAGCAGGCCAGGCGGCGCCATCTGAGTTTAAGCCATTGTTGGTATGCACGCGTGCCATTGAGAATGACGCCGGGACTCGACCACTGGGCTGACCGAGACATTGTGGCGGCATGGACACGAGCTTATCCTCCCGCGCTATACGTCATTACCGAGTGTTGCTAGGATGGCGGGGCGCCTCGCTGTCGCATGCACATCTTGTCAGCGCACAGGACCAGACGGTGTAATCTCTGTGCTTACCGAAGCTTCTAGAAAGTGAGGTTAATGAGAAAGTTGATGGAGCCCGAGCGTGAGAACGGCTACCGACAGAGGTCGGCTGATACACGGCCTGGCATGGGAGAGAGTTTGAAACGCGGAGAACCTATCCCCTTTCGTGTTGTACTTCATAACGTGATATTTACTAATGTAGTGCCTGTTATGAAAATGATTCTGCGATTGGTTGTGATGATGTGAGCCCCAACGTGTGATTGGTTTGTTTGAAGACCCTTTGTTCAACCGAGGGTTGAAAAGAGGATATTTTAATCTGGAAGAGAGAGCGGAAGTTCGGGCTTGGTCTCGGGCAGATGCCTGAGGCTGCAATAAAGCGCCTCTTCACCGGACGTCTCTTTCTTCGCGTTGCCACCGTGCACTCGAGTCATCGAGGGGACCCATTCCGAACCTCAAACATCTTTTCTCCTTAGCTAGTGTAGAAGCTAGTCGAAAAGGAGGAAATTAACGCTCGCCTCTACCACTTTGCCACCTTCAAAATGCGACTTTCACGGCCGGGATACACAACTGCACAGGGTCACCCTGGCTGCGCCTGACAGATTTTGTCCTTCAACATACAAGGTGGGCCACACGTTATCAGAGTACATATAGATGGTGCACGTCTGAAAACGCGATACCGTGAGACGTTCTTGAGCCACAGCAGCGCTGTAGAAAAAGCGACGTAGGGAGTGCGGTGCGCTTCAGTACGAACGTCTCGACTTGGTATAGCTGTTCACTATACGCGATGCATGGAGCTCATAGTTCAGACCGAGTATTCTGTGCCGATGATTTACGTGTTCACAAGAAAAAGATTGCTGGAAAAAAAAAAGCTATCGTTGCGTAAACGTTCAGGATGTTAATTGCGTCTCTACGGAAGCTACTGCCAGAGGCTCAGGCTATTCGTGACACTAACGAGGTTTTCCAGCACTGTTTTCGGCGCCTCAAGGAAATTGTTTTATCAAGCAATAAGCACAATTAAATAGTAGTGCACTTCGGGAGGGCAGTATTTTTTTTATTACAGCCACACCATGGTTTGTCCATCCTTGCTTCATTGCGCTGTGATAATGTTGGCTAGGCTGGCTCTTGATGTTGCTGCAGACCAAATCGCACCTTGGAGGCACTCTGCAGACAAAAGTTCATGCGAAAGAAAAAAAAAAAGATGAGAATTGTGGTTAATTATTCGAGTCAGCAAATTGTTTCATTTACAATGTTTACAAATGGAGTGAAACATCATCTGTCCGATTTTTTAGAAAGGACTGTAAATATTTACAAAATTTGAATACTTATTAGCAATAGATGGCCCTCATTTAAATGAGAAAATTTTCTTTGACCCGATTTTGGTATTTCTTTAAATTTCATTACAGTTGTTGTTCTGACCTAACTGCTTATAGAGCTTCTTTTGTACAGCAACCAGCCTGTTCGTTTATGGTCTAAATATTGCATAAGAAATGAGCTTGTGTCAATGCAGCAGATTGATTTATTGAAAACAGTGCGACACGATTCATCCACCATATATACAATGATTTGCAATGCCAGTGTTGTCGGGCCATCTAGGGCAGCAGAGTCGCAGTCTGTGACGAGCACTTGAAGTCGCGAATTGGAGCCCCGAGCTTGTTGTGTAGAAGCTTGTTGCTGTCTTTGACAGAGACCCTCGCAATGGCTTGCGCCCATCGCCTGGTCATATGGTCGGCTGACGGAGATGTTCCGGTCAACATCACTATGCGTTCTCGAAGGTACGCTTCCTGGAAAACACCGCCGTAGCCAGTCGATGTAGGTGCCAAGCACCGCCATTCGCCGGGAGCTCGCTTTTGTTTATACGAGCCGCAGGCACCACATTGCTTCGCCCGACACCCCGGCATTGGATTTTGATGCGTGTGTAAAAAACTCAGTGCATGAGTATTTTTACTTTAGTTTTCAGTAGTGCACTTCTGTGTTTCTGGCATGTGCCCAGTTGAATCCCCAAAAGACATGTCGCACTTTAATACTTGCCACTGCCATGGTGGCAACAGCCTCGCAGGGGGCATTAATACATGCTCAAGAGGAACATCCATTTCCTCAGTTAGTTTCCTCACCTGTAGCGAGAAGGGCTGTCGCACTGCAGGTCGGTGTGCATACAGCGAGGCTGAACTCAAATCATATACAGTGGCGTAAGTGGGATGCTGTGCATCGGATGGTACTTTAAGAAGCTACATAAAGCTTATATATGACCTTTTAGGATGAAGTGACAATTTGTCACATTCTGCAGTGGCCCTAGTGGTGTAAGTGAGATGCTGTACATTGGATAGTATTTTAAGAAACTACATAAAGCTTAAATATGATTGTTTAGGGTGGAGTGAGTATTCGTCACATTACACAGAAGTGCAACAGCCAAAATAGAGTTTGGAGCAACTTTTGGAGCAGAAAAAATTTTACTCTTCGGGCACTAAAATCCAAATTTATTTTTTGTCATAAAAAACTAAATTTGGAGCAGTATGAAAAAAAAAAGATAACATTTAAAGTGATGCCACCGAGGTCTTCCGATAAGGAGCAATTTTCGGAGAAGCAAAATTTTCATTTTGGAGCACTTTGGAGCAGTAAAATTTTCCATTTTGGAGCAATATTGAGCAGCTAATTTTAAACCCTGGAGGAAAAGCAAGTTACATTTACATTCAAGGACATGAAAAATTATTCTGAGGCTCGTGTGATGAGCTAGAAATATTTAGATTCATTGAAAATTTCATGGAGCCAATCATCTTAGAACCACTCCCTATTTCATTAGATAATGCAAAAATATTAGCGCCATGCTGTTGAGCATTCTGGAAAAACTTGTTCAGTTGTTATTTTCACAGCAAACAAACAGAATACTGGTTGAATAAAACTGTACTTCATGAAATACCAATATAAATACACCTATGTGGCTATCAGCTAATGTGGTAGACAAACGCCGTGACGCACAACGCTAGAGACTACCATGGTCCCAAGAGCATTTCCCTAAGATGACTTCAAGAATAAAGAAAGGTTCTTTTTCTTCGCAACTGATTAGACTGCTGGGCGCAATATGATGTCATACAGGCATAATCTTCGAAAGCGAGCCTTCTGCAGCACTCATCTCTGTGCTGAAGCTACACAATTCAACAAACTTCTTTTACTTTTGCAACAATACTTTATGTGACTAGCGCATTCTGTCCATACTCCAAAAACACCCTACTGTTGTCCTCTAGAAAACAGTTCATGAAAAAAAATAATAAAAATGGTAGTTTGGCTTTTTTTAAACTTATGCATACGCCTAAGACAACTCGAAGGCAAGATTTATTCTGTTTTTAATGAGATAGCAATTATATGGACATTCTCAACTGGTTTTTGCTATTGCCAGGAGTGTAGCAAAAAATTTTAAAAATTTGGGAGGGGGGCTTGCCATCTGAGGGGGGGGGCAGTCAAAAGATTATTTTGCGCTATATATGCCATGGCGAAAACAACTTCAGAGTGGGGGGGGTGCACGTTCCCTGCCCCCCCCCCCCCCCGCCTAGGCCACTGGCTGTCATGTTTTGTGTAATGTCCCAATCGATAACATCGCTCTGCACATCGCGTTTTACACACAGGTAAAAACGCACAAACGGGGCCGACAAACACGGCTAAAGCAGAGATAAGAAGAGCCAACCTATCTCCTTTGCATTGAGGCAGGATGCGATAACATTATACCCATGCACCAGGCCTCCAATCGATTCTTACTCAAGAAGAGAGGAATGCTTCGCCTGCGTCAAAGGGACAGGAAGGAGCTAGAAATGCGAGGGGGAGGGGCGTTGTTAATAACTTTGACTTTAAGGGTGTTATCGCTCGCGCACGAGCTATTTACGGCTGGTATACCGTTCTACCTTCTACTATCAACACGAACAGACTGTGCGAAAAGTGCTTCGCTTTCTGAAGAGGCACTGAGCCTTGATCGAATGGCAGCCACGCCATCGTCGTGCTATTTCGGAGATCCATTCGTACGTGTTGTTCGTGCTGTACAGATAGAATCAAACTGGTCTAGAGCAGTGAAGCACGTACCTGTTGACACTTAGTAGCCACGGCTTCTATCTCACGTTAGCTACAAGCTTCGATTGATGCTTACATTACAGCACAAGGGCCTAACATGCAGTAAGACCACGCTTGGTAGCGTTATGGCGTCTCTCTTTACTTAACTCTGAAGAAAACACCAGCTGTAGTGGCCAGCTGGACGTTCTAGACAAATCTGATTCCATCTGTACATGCGTCGGCATCCAAGAGATGTTTCGGGCGTCTTCAATCACCCAGGTAGCGGATATAGAAGACCACGCGTGCAGCAAGTTCTTGCAAGTGCGTGGACCTTGGTAATTGCAACCCTGCCGCTAACGCACCTCACGAATGACGTCAAGCCTTATTATTTGGTATAGCATACAACTTATTGGCATTGCGTTCATTGCTAAGAGCATAAGTGAAACTAACAAGTCGTATCTTTTAGATCCGACATTGCCGATATCGCAGAACTCAAAAGAATGCTGGCTAATGAGACAATGATCACTCTAGCTTTCGTGCTGTCAACTGTCAGTCATCTAAACCCGAAGCAGAGGTTAGTAGCACAGAAAGTTCACGAGCAGTCTCATTATGCCTCAAGATAGCTCGTGAGCTACTTCAAGCAACGCAGCAGCCTCTGGCCCCTCTGCCCCTCTCTTCAATACGAAGCAATAAATGTGATACCGTGTTCATTTTCTTGTGGGACTACTCGTGGATCCCACGAGTAGTCCTCTGTCATTAGCTTGTTTGATTTCTTCAGTTAAGGTGATTAGTACCAGCTCAGTCGAATATCCTGAACAAAATCCAAATTGTTGTGGAGACAAAAGGGCAAAAGGGAGACAAAAATAATTCATTAATCTTATTTCAAATAGTTTTTCGATTAATTTATCGAAAAAAAGGGAGGATACAGATGGGCCTCAAGTTGTGGACAGAAGCCTTATCGCCCTTCTTAAAAACGGGAACTATTTTACCAACCTTAAGGCAGCTCGGAAACACACCCGCAGAAAACAGCTTGTTAATAATAAGTGACAAAGGTTGGAATATTATGCCTGAGACTAGTTTCACTTTAAAAGGATCAATATTGTCCAAACCAGCACTCGTAGTATTCAATAATACGATGACCTGAATGACTTCATCTGCGGATGTCGAATGTAGATAAAATGAATGACTACACCGTGGTATATCAGATACATGAATTGCTGACTGCTGCTTTTCCGCAGATGCACAGAAATGCTCACTAATTGCAATGGCCACTTTTTCTGGGTTGGTATACATTTCGTCCCCTTGTTTTATTTTTGTTGTGGTTGCTAAGCACTCCTTTTTGTTCACAAATTCTTTAATGATTTGCCAGCAATGACTTGTGTTACCCATATTTTTAAAAATAATATCCTGGTAGTAGTTTCGCTTACCAAGCTTAAATGAAGAAGATAATATCTATGAATACTTCTGGAAGCGGGATTTTAATGCAATGTTGAAAGACTGTGACATTAGTTTTTTGTGAAGGTTATTCTTTTTATTAATAGACTTCAACAATGAGTGATCATGGATTTCTGGGTGAACGATACCACTTCGTGACAGTAGCCGAAGTGGTGCATGCGTCTATACTTTGGCAATTACTTATGAGAAAGACTCAAAAGCCTTTTTTGCACAGTCCTCACGAGTCACCAAAGTCCAGTGGACTGCGCTAATTATTTGCCCAAATTTATCTGAATCGAATCGGCGTTTAGTGAAAACGTTACTCGCCTTGGTATTTTTAGAATCCAAAATGAAAATAACAGGATTATGATCTGTAAGACTATCCTCTAACACACCAGCAGTGTGATCACTTGAAATATTCTAGAGTATGTGATCTATTATTGTATTCGAACCTAGGAGATTGCTTCTAGTTGGTGTGAAAATATGCAAAGTAAAGTCAGTAGCGTGTAAACAGTGCATATATTCGAGGCACGACTCGATTTCAGGATCAATAATAGTCATGTTAAAATTGTCCCATAAGATGTTTTTATTTTTTTTTCACTAGGTTGTTAAGGACGCTGTTAAACTGAAGACAAAAGTCGGAATATGATGATGAAGGTGACCTATAAATGGAAGCTATGATAGTGTTACGGCTATTGAGTGGTATAACATTATGGTTAAATTCAAGCCAGACTGATTCACACAAATTATTGTTGAACATGATGTCAAGATGGCGTGTGTATGTTAGGGATGAATTGACAAGTATGGCACTGCCCCTGCCTTGACCAAACTCTCGATTACAGTATTCAGAATAATAACCTGGCAATCCATACAAGTTACCGTAATTGTCAGATATCCAAGTCTCAGAAAAGCATATGACAGAAAATGAATGATCAAGCAATGAGAGCAATGCGACAAGATCATCCTGATGTTTCTTAAGACTGCGAATGTTCAAATGCAGTAGCGATAGCGCTGGTGACTTTTCGTGAAGCAATTCAGATGTTTGCTGGCCCAAGAATGCAGCCACGTTAAACGAAGGTTGATTTAAATTGAGGAGTGATACGATATCTAACAGAATATGCGAAGATCTTCTGCGCATGCAATTCGAAACAAGCGACTGTCATCCGCTTTCCTAGCATTAATCGTGCAGTTGTCGGTCCAAAGGTGATTCTACTGATTTGTTTTTTAGGGCAAGGGCCTGCACAAACAGACGTTTACGCTCGAGTGTGATGTGATCATTGACATACACTGGTTTAGAGCCTGTGCTTTGGGGAAATACAATATTTGCGGAAGTCAGCTGCACCTTCCTTGCCTTATTCGCAAATTCAACCTTCTTATTTCTCGAACAAAATCGCGCAATAATGATGCTTCCAATCTTTGCAGGCACCCGATGCGCAGTGTCAATGTCCGTATCAGCAAGTGGACAACCAATCTTCTCCCTGATAATTTGGACAACTGTCAGGCAGTTCTCGCCCTCTGTCTCAGGAATTCCATTCAGCTCAATATTATTGAGCCGCAAATATTGTTCAAGATCACACATCATTTTACTGAGTTGCTTATTCTCATCTCTCAGGACCTTGTTTTCCTTGGTTAGTGCCTCATTGTCATTCTTTACATGTTCGTACAGCTCATTGAACATCGCAAGGCTTGTCTTCATCACTACAGCCTCCTGCCGAAGAGCCTGTAGTTCCTTTGCTAATCCCGTGCAAGTCGGCATTTTCAGGATAAGCAATGAAGAGAGGTAACAAAAATACAAGGCACACAATAAAACAATCTATGTCAAAGGTAGCAGTAGAAATGGAGAAAAAAAAACGCAAAACAGAAAGAAGTATCAACACGCAACGAACCTGGACGGAGTGAAAACAAGGGTCAATGCTTGCACACAGTCGCAACCACTGCTGCTGAAATGAAGAGCAATGGCGAATGATGGCGTATTTGTAGTGTTTTTCCTCCTGTAGATGGCGAACGGAGTGGCTGAAGTTCAGTGACGTAGTTACACGTGCCGAGAAAACAGCAGCAACAGCTAAGTAGTGCTGTACAGAGATCCGTGCAGATAAGATTCACCACCTGGTGGCCCCGAGGTGGCTGGCATTGGCATGGCAGGAGGGGGAGTGGCCACATGCGTTGGATAGCCACCACGGTTCATCCACTGAAATTGTCAATACATTCTCTCCTCTTGTGCCATCACGCAATAATCTCTGCTCACCTTGACGTGAAACGCTTGTGCATGGCCTGGGCGTTCTTTTTAAGTTCTTTTGCGTACCACCAAACCTTACTTATTGCACTTCACGCAAAGCTTGTCCAGAAAACACAGATTGCCAACTAGTCCCGACCGCAGTGGTGGAAGTGGCTTTTGGCATTTCGGAGCAGCTTTCGGAGCAGGAAAAATGGAAGTTTGGAGCAAGAATTAGTGCGCTTGGAGCACAAAAATGTCCTGTTTGTAGCAAGCTAACTACTGTTTGGAGCAGTCTGACTGCAGCAGGTAGGTACCGATATGTGCATGGAACACGACAAATAAATTTTATTTTGAAAATAATTGCATTTATTATTGATTATATATTGCACTTAACAAATTTTCCAACTAAAATATGAACACATTTACTGAACACACAACATTTGCAGAATGCCTGCCATTTTTGCACTATCAGGTATCATTTTACAGTTATTACAATGCAATACTATCACAGAAAAGCTCTCACATGAGTCTTTAAACAGAGTACTTCAGCTCTAAAAAAGAAGTAAACATCACAGTGACATTCACATGCAAACCTCATAACTGAGACTAGTCCTACAGGCGTGCACAGCTTAAGCTTTTCTTTTTCTTTGAATCTTCAAGCTTGCTAAGACTGCTAGCAAGTTTTGCCTGACCCTCCTTGAGCAATGCTTGTCCACTTTCAATATCATCAAACTTCTTAGCCTTCCTCCCTTTTGCAATAAGCAGTTCTGCATTGGCTAGCATCTTCTTAGCAGAATCGATATCCATCTGTATACTTCGCTGCTCATCCACTTTGCTTCCTACGGAGTCTTGGTGAAGCTTGGCTTTCTTGGCTGAGGGTTTACATCATTCTGCAGACACACGTTCCTGGTACTTTTTAAATGAGCCCTTTACCGCTTTGATCATATCAGGCTTTAGAGAAACGGCTGAGGCATCTTGGCCATACCGGCTACAAAATGATTTAGTAGCACGCAATCCATTTACACTTGCATTTGAAAGGTTACTTCGCTCATGGAGAAGACGGCGATTTTCACTAAATCCCCTTTCAACGTCAGCATTGCCATGCGCAAGCGACAGCATAGCTTTAACAAATTTCACTGTTCGGGGGTACTTGGGACCACCGTCTTTTGACAAGAGGCTGAATATGTGTTGCCACGCATCGTCGAGACGCTCGTGTGGATTAGAGGAAAACTCTTCTGTGGAGAGGAGCGTTAGTTCGTCCATCAGAGCAGACACTTCCTGCGGTGGTACCACTTCTGGCACTTGTTGTGCCAAATTCCTGAGTGCCACAATGGGGCTCTCCTCCTTGACAGCACTTGGATGAATGCTCTTGAGATCTTTAAGCACCTGATTGCCAAAGGGCAGCCTTGAAAGCAGATACTTCGCAACGTGAATGTAAAAGCTACGTGCACCTATTCTAAACATCTTCTCTTCAGGCGTGAAAGAATTAATGGAATTTTCAGTGTCTCCACCAATTTCAACTACCTGTTTCCAATTCGCAGAGCACTCTACATTAAGGTATTGAAGTTCCACTCCTGTGAAGTCCCTGTATGCACCGATCAGTACGAATTGTCCCAGAATTCTTTTCACAAGCTTCACCATTTCTTCATACAATATATGGAGGAGTGGCTCCCGTCGTTGAAATAACGTCAAGAACTCAACAAACACATCTGCGACATTTCGAAGAAAGATTGCCTTGGGAAGTAGATCCTTTTTCATCAGATTTTCTTTCAGACGCCTATAAATATTGCCACCCGCTCGACTTTTTTGTTGGGCACCCAGAACTGTTTCCTTGACAGCTTCATGTTGCTGGATAAATCGATCCAAAGCTGAACTCAGCGTCAGCCATCGCGAGCTCACATGCCGCAGAAGGACATTTTCAGGCAAGCCTAGGAATCTCTGTGTTGCCTTCAGCGTAGCACTTTGTACGGCTGAATTTTTGAAAAAGTGATATATGTCAAGCAACGTTGTTTCTACAGTATCACCAAATGCTTCGAGACCTTTTTCAAATGCATTATGCACCTTGTGCAAACTACATTCACCAATGTCCAGCAAAGCTGGATTCACATCTTCTTTCAAACGTTTTTTCAAACTTCGCATGACGTTGGGCCTGTCACTGTAAAAGCAGAGCATGTTCCTTGCAGGCAAATCTTGCAGGGCTTCTTTGACATGTGCCAGCAAGATTTCTGTTGTTGCAGAGCCCAAGTGATAAGAGCGCAAATGCTCAACAACAACACCCTTCTGTGTATCAGAAAAATATCTGGCCATCACCCCAGCTGTTGGCAGCGTTGCTCTGGGAGCGGTGTTTCGTCGATCTGAATTGTGTAATATGTGTGTGGCCTGTTCAGTTCATCTGTGACTGCCTTCTTAAAATATGGACCTAGGCCATCTGAAATTATGTATGATAGCTTCTTCCTACTACACTGGAACTCCTTGGCTATTTTAGAGTCTGGAAACATCAACGGCATCATCTTCGTTGCTACATCCCCGTATGTATAAGGGATCCCAGACAACGCCACTCCAAGCGCAAAATAAGTATCTGCTCGAGCATCACGGTCTGCCTCCGAAAGCCATGGCCCAGTTGCAAAGCATGATTCCAGCTGAACTTGCTTAGTAGCAGGCTTCTTTAGAACACCAGAAGCATCTCTATGTTGAGTGCACAACTCAACGTGACTCTTATTGGCAGCATGACGCTTGACAGCCGCTACACCATGCTGTGCACAGTTTATGATAGTGTTGCAGATGGTGCAGAATGCTTCTTCTTGTTTTATCCCTTGTCTGCACCAAACAGAGATGATGTCACTGTTGGAATCAATCTCATTGAGCACTTGGTTATTAAACTTGCTTTGACGACCTGAAAGAAAATGTTGCCCTGATCACACAAACTTCTGATAATACAACTTAAACACAAACTTGGATATCTATTTTTGCAAATGCACGGTAAATTGAGCAAGAGAAAATAGTGTCTGAAATTTCGAGGCAAAACTATTACCAGCATTGTAAGAATCGCCTTCGCGATGCCGTTCTACAGAATTAAGACAGACTCCAAACAACGACAAAATCGCCGCGTCAAAGGCGCCTCTCCGCAAACGGAAAGTCGGGCATGTTGCGCCTGATTACGTCCCACTACCCTCAGACGCTCGCGCTTAGTCCTGCCTAGTACAAATGCGCGCGATTGCTTCCATATTAGGAGGCGCAATTCCGACCGACATCAAACCCCGCTGCGTTCTCGTTTGGCTTCTCCGTGCACACCGCTCCGCCGCAACCGATGTACTTTAAAGGTCAATTGCCCACTCGGATATTCGACTGAATTTAAGCTCTGGTGTTCCCTGCTTGGTGATGCGCTGCCACACTATAGCACAAAGAATAATTGAAATAGGTATCGCAAGGCGCGGTAATATCATTATATAATGCTATGATTATATAAAAATCCACGGCGAAAGGCGCGCTGTTAATTTTCACAACCGCGTTTCATATGCTACCGACCAATTTTAAAAAATCCAAAATTCGATATATTATGAGTTCAGTCAGTACAGATAAGTGCGATATGGCCCAGATCAAGGTTACACGATATTAACTTCATGCGCACATCAATACATAACACGTGGCTGCTGATGCCGCACGGTCACTTCGTACGAACTACTGCCGCTACTGCGCTGAACCGTGCTGCGTGGAGACAGTTACAAATCGCAAACAAACAATGTAAAATAATAAGCTGTGATCCCGCAATACAAGTCTCCACGAATAACTTGCTAATAAATGCACCTATTGGCACTCGTGCCTTTTATATTTTTGTTCACGTCAGTTCAGAGCTAATAATGTGCGATATAAAAATAGGACTTATGTCGAACAAAGAAAAGACAAGCCCCTCGATAATTCCGGTACTTTTAGGGGCTACTGGTGTCACAGCAGGACATCCAAAGCAAATGCGCCCAAAAACAGCACGAAATGTGCGTCAAAAACGCGACAATAAACAGTAGGTTTAACAGCACTATAACATCAAGGGTTTTACAAAGAATAACAATCGGAGGCTCGAACACTTCAACTTTAACTTTTCAAGCATTATATCCACATCAGCCAACACAAAACAGGCGTCAACGACACATGTCACAGGCTTACCTTTCCTCGTAAAAGCCATTTCGTTGCCTGCCGGAACGGCCAATGCGCCCAGCACGTGTGACTGGTGCGACGTTCTCTGGCCACTAGCCAACGCTTCGCACACGGCTAGCAGTGGCTGAAGATAGGCTTGGCTTGGCTGCTTTTTCGGCACTGTTTCGGTTTCGGAACCATTGGCCGTGGTGGCGAGCGTCACAAAACGTTGGCCTCGGCGCAGGCATGGCGCAATATACGCGAAAAACTGCCATTTGGCGCAGCATGTAGCAGCATTTCTGTCTTGGCGCAGTTTGGCGCAATTGGCGCAGCACTTCCATCACTGCGAGCGTCTAGTCGAATGTGAGGATCAGATGCTTGGTTGGAATTCTTCTGTCATCTTTGTGTGTCTTTATCCTGTTAACAATCCCATTTTGCTCTTTCAATTCATACAATAAATCTTGCTCAGTCCGTGTAATCAGGTCATCATCTGTCACTACACCACAAACCGTATTCATTGATTTGTGTGCTGTTACAGTTACAGGAATAAGTCCGAACCTCTCAAGGCTGGGAAGTTTCTCACGTTGGGCTTTACAAAGGTATTGAGAAGTAGATCTCCACTTGACATTTCAGTGATTTTATATCGTGGTCCCAGTTTTTTTTTTTTTTTTTAAGGCATTTAGAGACAAGGGAAGGTGAGACACCTCTCACTGGCTTGTTGGTTTGCTCACTGTGGATTACGTGATACCGGGGGAAATTGTCTTTGTAGGGTGTGAAAAAGTTCAATGTCACTTCGGTGCACTCTTTTGAGAGAGCGATCAGAAAGTGGGGGGAAAGGAGTGCCCGTTAAGTGCTTTATTATTCAGCTGCTATGGCAGCCACTCACCATCAAGCCCAACAAGAGGATGCTACAATGGTTGGGTAACACATGTAGACATACTGCTATAACCCAATAAACCAATAACCCAATAAAATATATCCAAGGCTGGATATAGAACACAATGCTAACCCAGGCCACCTACGAAAAATGAGAAGTATTTGCAAGCTTTTGGTTGGCCGACATGCGGGGTTTAATGTCTCAAAACCACCATATGGTTATGAGAGACGCTGTAGTGAAGGGCTCCAGAAATTTCAAGCGCCTGAGGTTCTTTAACGTGCATCCAAATCTGACCACACGAGCCTACAGCATTTTCGCCTCCATCGAAAATGCAGCTGCTGCAGCCAGGATTCGATCTCGCAACCTGCAGGTCAGCAACCGAGTACCTTAGCCTCTATGGCAGGGCGTATCGGAAAGGATTAGAAGACCGAACAAAAAGGCAAGAAGATTTGAAAGAAGAGGACAGGGGAGAGTGGATAGGAAAAGGCAACCGCCGATTTTTCCTGGGTGGGTGAGCCCAGGGGTCTATGTGAAGCCGGGCCAAAGAGGTGTGTTGCCCCAGCCGGGGGCTTTAAAAGTACAAACACTCAGCTCCGGCTCAACCACCAGCATCTTCTTTTCACCAGACACAGCTAAGGCATGCATGGCGAGGCGAGAGAGTAGGTCGAAACCCCCCCGTTGGTTTGGATTCTTAGTGTTGCCACACACCAAACGCCTGCTTGCGCAGATTCCCCTGCGAAACACTACATTTGTATTCCTATGATTCAGCAAGCTATGTTCAAATGTTGCTCCACCCCAAAGGAATATGCGACTAGAAGATATTTATGGAAGTTGCATTATCACATCATAAAGTGCACTTAGTTTGAATAATACCGACATTTTTACTCTAAACTGACTGCCGACATTACATACCATCATAAATTACCGTATAAATGCAGTGTAGTAAACATTCCTGGTAAGCTCATGATGTGCATGCAACTACTGCAGTTACAAAAACACGTTGACACACCTCGTAATACGTGTCTCAAGGTGAAAAATTTCAGCATGTCTTAGTTGCCGACTGGTTCACATGAAACCAACTCTTGCAAAACGTGCAATCTGCCGATATTTCTGTTGTTGTTGTCCATTGAAAACAGCGCAATACAACAGAGACAAGAAAGACGAAACAAGACCAGCGCTGCTCGTCAAGGTTGCCATCAACAGCTCTGGTCCTGTCTGGTCTTCTCCCTGCTGTGCTGGACTGTTTACCACTATGATTATGTACCAACAAGCTCACGTTCATTTACTTTTATTTATTTTTATTTCACGGGCATCAGTAGTAAGCAAAGATACTATAACTAAATTTGGAAACTGTCTAATCAGACATTCTGCAAACCAATTTACAATGTTCCCATAGAAATTCTTTACCCCACTTCGTTGCTTCACAAGTTATATGTATGTCTAAGTAATAAAGCAGAACACCAAAAACAGTACAATTTATTCCATGCATTAGCAGGCAACATACATTCGGTCACATCGTCAGAGTGTGTGTTGGCATATTTTCAACTCTGCCCAAAATCAGTGGGGGTACCATGTACGTCTCTCACGCAGTCACTAGACTCGCGCCACACATTCAGACAAATGCAAATTGACAAATTCTTGGTGAATGTCTAATTATTGGCTATAAACAAACAATTTTTTTGTCATAAAATTGACAGAATTGTGCAGCCCTGAGAAGTCAACACAGCTTACCTTTAGGCAGTGCGCAAGATCAGGTGGATGCCTGACTCTGTGTAGACTGGCTCTGAGAGCTCCCCAACGCTGAGAGCGAAGGCGGCATCCTCAAAAGGCTTCTGCATTGCGCCCCTGCCAAATGTTCCCAGGTCGCCTTTCCGCTTGGCAGAGCTACAGTCGCTATACTGGCTCGCCAGCTCTTCAAAGGTTGCCTTTCCCGACACTATTTGCTCCCGATATCCTGTACAATGATTAAAAAAAAAAAGATGCCTCAGGAAAAACCTCAGGAAATGCTTAAACAAATTGTAGAGTTGTCACAAATTTTTTTCTGCACACTGAAAGTCACTGCTTGTTGAATGAAGAGGAATCATCTTTAGCATAAATCAGGAGTTCGCATAGTTTTCAAGGATGCCCCACGTCTTTTCGATCCAGACCTTAGCAAGATTACCAAATGCTTAGAGGAGGTCTCAGGCATTTGTACATCAGTATTAGGCTATTTTGTTATGCAGACAATTGCTTCATTTTTTATAGTGGTGACGAACTTGATTCTGAGCAAACAGGTTAAAAGGTGTTGAAACTATAGGTTGGCAAGCACACTCATGAGTTGTCTCGCTCACACTTGTTTAGACTTCTGAGTGAGTTCTGGTGATTGATGTTTGGATGAGTTTCAGTACAAGGCAGCCCGACCAAGGAAAATTTTGGCAAGTCAGAGTTCAAGTGAGCTCCACCTATGGTCCTACTTAATTATCTCATGCAATGCTATCAGCCACATATCAGCTTGCGTTAATACTCAAATCTATCTAAACACACTTGTGTTCATGCACCACCTCCATTGGTTAGAGGAGGGATGGAGTGCCATGAACTCGCCCCACAAACTCTTTCAAGGGACGTTCCTAGTAAAAATATATTGTGTGAGTCACATAATACTTTCTCAAAACGTCCGTACAAGATAGAAATCACTGATAACTCGTATTTTAACGCACAATATGGAGAAGGCACCAAATACGTACAGGATGAATTATGTGAGATTTTGGCAATAATGAGCATTGACAGCATGATTGGAAAAGCTATTGTTATGTTCACAGACTCATGAGCCAATTCACTCAGGCTCACTCAGACTCAGGTCAAGCCATGAGTCTGAGCAAGTCCACCTAAGTAACAAGTCAGTGAGTTTGAGTCCAAGTGAGTTTGGTTGAGAAAATGTTTAGTGAGCCTGAGTCTGTATGAGCCCTTGCAGCTCAATATATTTCTTGAGTGAGTCTGAGTGTAGTCCAATGCTTTTGCCAACCGTTGGTTGGGACACCAAATGATGAGGCTACTACAGACTTCATCGCATGCAAAGACACTCTACACAAAGTGTTGACACAGTAAATGATTGGTATATATTTTAATTCATTTCCAAGGTGTACCTAAATGCTTTTCTGGCGATTAGGACCTATCACTGATATTGACATAACAGCGTAGGAGGCGAAAGAAGAAAAGTTTAACCAACATTATACTGTACTACATCTTAGTTTTTCTATGCATAGTTCTACAGAAACAGATAAACACCAAACACTACGTGCAGAATTAAGGTGATGCATTGGCCCATGTGAGATGACTTGCAGCTTTTCACTTTCATGTTATGGGTAGTTCCTGTCTGACGTAGCACAATGCTTGCGCTTTGCGAGTGCATTGCACTACAAGTTTCAACATCGCCCGTCAAGCTCAATGATGAATATCTTGAACCACATGCAACTTTTTTAATTTCTGAAAAATGGTTATGCCATAAAGTGGCACACACTACAACTTTATAATATAACCACCTGCCCTGAAGTTAATAATGAAAAAAATATTTGAGTTGTTACTAATTAGTCGCAACAGCATCATGTTAATTATAGCAAAACATTTTTGCCATAACGTGGAGCTCGTGTGTGAAAGCAATCCTTACTGTAAAAATTTTGTTATTTAAATCTGTATGGTTGAAAAAAAGCACCCTGTATAAATAGGAGGCTGGCCCTTCCAGCCATACAGTTGAACCTATTCATAACAATACTCAAGTGCCACGAAAATGATAGTGTTATAATCAATAATTGCTATGAACAGCTCACACAAAATAAATGCAAAATAGGAGATTGCAGACTACTTTGAGAAAATTATATTATTGGATGGGATATGCCCGTATACGCAGTAGAACATCTCAAAAAGATTTAGTACGTTCCCTGGCTTTCGTTGTGCTGCATACACATGAGTAGTGTAGAATGTTCTCGATCTTGACCGCAGCCGAATATAAGTGGGCGGTGACGGAGAGTCAGGGCAGTCGGTGAAGAAGCGGTCAAATCAAGTAATGGGCCGGCGACGGAAGGAATAACAACTAGCGCTGGAGTCTCCATGTTTGTTTGAAGAGAAACGTTCAAAACTCTTCTCAAGAATTTGTGGACTGGAATGATTCAGTAAAGTAAAAAGTTGGGCGAGTTGGTGCTGGTTCATGATGATAAGGGGCGCGAAAAAAAAAAAAAACGACACACAACAGAGAAGAAGTACACGGGACGACGCGCTACTAGCAACTGGAATATTTTATTCAGGAAACACCATTTATACCGCAGTGACATCAAATTTAACCCAACGAATCGACCAAAAACTAAAACTATGTGCTCAGCATGCCTATAAGTAACCTTGCAGATAGGCTATCTCCCCTTCCTGCAGACTGATAGAGGGGTGGCTGATGCAATCAGGCCCCTCCCTCTGGATAAAGAGGGCTTCTATAATCTCCCTCTCCGCTGAGCCCCTGTGCCTGTAGATTACAGTTGTCTGCTGGAATGATTGGTGAACATAGGAAGTCCTTAAGTGTTCTGAAGAGTTTGTATTGCTTGAGATTGCAGTTGTAGTGTGACTGGTTTGCATGTTGCCATTGTATTGAATATGATGTGAGTTATATAGAGAATTGACTAGCCGAATGTGCATGTATCTATATGTGTATAAAAGGACTGATTTGCCATAACTTAGAATATGTTTTGTTCTTGTTGTCAACTGCTGGCTCTGGCTAGGCCTTTAGGCCACAACCGGCAATAGCTGGCCCACTAAAGGGGCCTACCCTCAATGGTCCAAGCTTTTGCATTGCGTGTCGACGCGTCGATACATTCAGCCCTTGGAATCTGCCCGGCGATTTCCTTCCCAATCATGAGATTAGAGACAATGCCTCATTATCAAACTAAACAAGTGATACAAACTCTAATTAGTGCATTTGTATGACCCAACATCCACACATGACGACATAGAAGTCAAACAGTGCCCCGCAATCGTGGCAGACTTCAATGCAAGAGTAGGAACGAAAGAAAATGAGAAAGAGGCAGTTGGTAATTATGGTACTGACGCTAAGAATGGCAGTGGAAAGATGTTAGAAGAATTTGCAGAGCGGAATAGGCTTCCTATAATGCACACCTCTTTTTCAAAACTGTAAACATAAGACGAGGACATGGAAAAACCCTAACGGACAAACAAAAATGAAATAAACTTTATTCTATGCAGAAACACATGCATAATACAGGACTTTGATGTCGGAAACTAGGTGAAGTGCAGTGACCACAGCTTAGTAAGGGCAAAAAAAGCGGTTCATTTGAGAAAATCTCGAGCAAAATTACCAATGAATAGACAACCCAACCTGAATGTAGTAAGAATAAAGTGAGAAGATTTTAAGATTACAATTGCAAACAAATACGCAGCTTTAGGAGATGAGGACAATGCTAACATGAAAAAAATGAACGAAACAGTAACTAAATTGATCTCTGAAGCAGCTATCGAAGTTTGACGTCAAGCTTCAAGACAGGAAACTTTCAAATCCACGAAGGGCTTAATTAAAAAATGGCAACACATGAGGGGGACTTACTCAATATGTAAAATAGAGTATGCTGAGGCAACAAAGTTTACAGCAAGATGAAAGCCCATGACATAACGGAGTACACCACCGAAAGCAATTGGAGGGGCAATAAAAAAGAGCACCAGCCTTAAAACTGCAGAAAAGAGACTTTGTATAGAAAAACAAAAAAACTAAATGCACGCTCTCAAGAAAAAGATGGAAATTATTACCAATAACTTCACTGACATAGTTCAGGTGACAGAGGAATTCTACACTGAACTATATATAATTCAAAAATAAGTAATCCAATCGTGAGTCATCCAATCTGTAACTAACACGGAGATTAGAAACGGCACGAGATATATGATGTTAAAACGTAGCTGGCAATAATGGGATAACTGTCGATCTAATTAGGGACGGAGAAGAATTTACTAAGAATAAACTAGCTACACTTTATCCTTAGTGCCTCAAGATGGCAAAAGTTTTAGCAACCTGGAAAAATGCTAACGTTGTACTAATTCATATGAAAGCAGACATTGAAGAGTTCAAAGAATACTTTCGGTGATGTGCAAAATATTTACAAAAGTAATTTCAAACAGAACAAGAGAAACACTCGACTCCAACCAACCCAAAGAAGAAGGTGTGTTCAGGAAAGGCTACTGTACAATGGATCGCATTCATGTAATAAATCAGGTACTGGAGAAGGCTGCTCAATACAACAAACCCCTTTATTTAGCCTTCATAAGACTACGAAAAGGCATTCAACTCAGTGAAGAGATCTGCAGTTTTAAGAGCGATTAGTCGATAAGGAGTACTTAAATCGGATTACGCGCGTACATTCCTCGCACATATGCGTCACCGAACTGGTAAGCGGCCTAGTCGGCAGGCGAGTTCAAGGCGACCGCATGAGCTCGCAAGTGTGCCTCTGCGGAAAACATGCGGCGGGCATTGAAAAAACGCCATTTAGGTGACGCAAAACATAAGGATTACATGCCTGGTGCCTACTAAGAAAGGTGAATTTGCAAATCATTGTAAATAAACAGCTTTTCCATGCTACTGTCTGCCCAAAATGGACTTGTGTTTTTTGCATGATTTCTCAGGATTCAAATTTTGCTGCAGTTGCAGACTTGTCTAAAAGATATCTCTGCCTCCAGAGCAGCTAGAACTGTCATTTTTGTTGCGATATGTAGCTGTATCTTTAGTTTACACAATGGTAGGTGTGAATTTTTGATTGAGATTTTCAAAAAATTTTATTTTTGCCAGAAATTGGAGCATAAAGTAGGTGTGTCTGCAACACTGAAATGCAAGGTGCGACAAACCTTGCTAAAACTATCAAATTAAAAAAAAAGCACTGCTACCGTTGTGTAGCTTATGTTCATTAGTACACAGGCATGTGCCAATAGTAG